GCTCAATCAATGTATGAGCGCCTCCGCATGCACGGTTAGTTTGGAAAGAAAGTTCCTCCAAATCTTTAACACCGCTGTAACGAAAATAAATCTTTTTTTTTTAAAAGACTGACATCTTATAAAATTTAAAAATTGTCATTGAAAAAATAGCGATATTTATAATAGAATAATAATATTAAATTTTATTAAATATTTACGCTGTCTTTTTATAATATATTATAGATGGTTAATTCATTATAGAGCTTTATATAATAAGGTATAAAGCTTTTTTTTTCTTTTTTACTTTTCGCTGTTAAAGAGTATTTAAAATTGAATAAGATCCAATTTACATAAATAAAAGATACACATGACCCTAAACCTGACCCTCGTCATAGAGCTTATTTTGTAAAGCTCTATGATAAATAAACAGTCTATAATTGACTATAATAAAAAAGACTAAATTACGTAAGTAAGTTTTAACAAAATCGTTTAAGTTTTTATTCACGTAAAATTGACCAATTACTGAGCAAAAGCAATAATTGCTACGAACCTCAGACCTCCTGTTCTGAAATCAATGCACCATGAATTTTAGGCCGGGTTGAATAAAAAAAACCAACAATTACTTTTTTATTTTATTTGCCCGGCCTATTATTGATCACGGTGCATTGAATTCAGAACAGGAGGTCTGTGGTTCGAAGCCGGCTCTGTCCATTTATGCAACAATGATAAGGAAGAAGGCGTTAACTTCCTGGTTAAACACTATATGCGGTGCTCTGTTAAAAGACCGTAAGGACTTCTTAAAGCACTTAAATAGCTTTTTAAAAATTTTTTTTATTACCAAGCTATAGATTCTCTCAGATGGTTTTTTTTTTTTTTAATATCCAGAGATTCAAGCTCTATACAAAATCTCATAATCCGTTTTTGTTTGGTCGGATCCGGAAAGCACAAATCCACCAAAAAAATCATGAACATCTGGATCATAGATTCATTTTATAACTTAAAAAAAAATATTTGTTATTAACGTAATTTAAGAAAACTTTAACAATTTTATCACAGAACACCGCGATAGAGCGAGAAAAAATTTAACCAGAAAGTTCACGCCTCCTTATTCACCAATGTAACTCTTGAAACACTAACCACTTCACCACGGCCACGGTCGTTTAAATGTGGAAAGTTATTATACGCAAGCGCAGTGTCAAATTCAAATATTATAATTTTAAAGATGGTGACGGCCTTTAGATACCAAAATTTTTTCTGAGTAGCAACAATATTTTTAAAGTTTTACTTAGTAGTTATTATTTGCATATTTTCGATAGAATGAAATAATAATAAAGATAATTGAATTGTTGATTCAAAAATGATAAAAACAATATAAAGATGTTTAAATATATAAAAAACTGTGATTCTCTGCTACATTTATCTGACTGTTAAAAGCGTGATTTGTTTACATTTTCAAAACTGTTTTTCTAAAAATCTGAGCGATACAATTTAATAATTTTTACTTTTTTATTTCGAATAGTCTTGTCTTGATTTGAAATTGTTTTCAGATCTGAGTATTCAATTTTTTTCTGAACAAAAATAGAATTCACCCAACACTACTTTTGTAGATGTATGATACATTTATATTAAGGTATATAGCTAATATATATATATATATATATATATATATATATATATATATATATATATATATATATATATATATATATATATATATATACTATATATATATATATATATATATATATATATATATATATATATATATATATATATATATATATATATATATATATATATATATATATATATATATATATATATATATATATATTATAATATATAATTATATGTGAATGATTATAATATAAATTATAATATATAATATATGTGAATGACTATACTATAAATGCAAAAAAAAAAAAAGGCTAAAAAGTTCACAAGTTACTTATAAAGTATGTAAGATAAAATATTTATATATAAGTTAAATATAAATGTATTATATTACATAGTTTATATAGCATTTAATTTATATTTGTTTTTATAATATAGGTAATATAAACTATAAAATATAGTTTTTATAATATATCATAATCATTTAACTATATATTATATACAATTTGTATCCAATAAATTTGTGTGCATATTATATTACAACACGATTACAACAATTGTATGCAAACACAATTAATGCATACAAATCAAACTCTGAAAAATAATAAAATATTAAAAATATTAATATATGTCCAAGCATAGTATACTATGTAATACAATACATATATATATATATATATATATATATATATATATGTATATATATATATATATATATATATATATATATATATATATATATATATATATATATATATATATATAAATATATATATATATATATATATATATATATATATATATATATATATATATATATATATATATATATATATATATATATATATATATATATATATATATATGATACATACACCATTGGCCATTAATTAGAGCATTCTTACTTATATATCCTGTTTGCTTAAAATTACTTTAAAAACTAGTTAGCTTTTTAAATATTTTATTATTTCTAATTAATAAGTATCGTGTTTTTTATTTAATGGACAAGTTGTTACCATAAAATTTCATTTGTATCCCTAATTATATGTAACTTTATAACATCGACTATATTTTTTTAAATTTTTTTTGTTCGTTAAAAATTAATGCTTACTGCTTTATTTTTAAAATTAATGTAATATTTTTTTTAATAATTTAATTTGATTTTCATTAGCATTTATTAACTCTAAATTTCTAATTTTGAAATAGTACTGATGAAAACACAAAGAAATTAGATATTGAAAAAGCCTCATAACGAGTGAAGTAATACAGCATGAAACTCCAAAATCATGGTTGAGATTCTCTGAAAAAACATGTTACAAATCTATTTTTATTTAAAACCAAGTATTATCTCCTCGTCAAATAGCCAATAAGTTAAATATTGAATATTCACATATTTGAAAACCTTATACTGAAACAGATGACATTATGGATCTGGATAATCTGGTGGGCAACACAATGAGATAAACGTTTTTAATTAATAAAATTAATTTGCTTGATGAAACACGACAGCAAGTGGTGAAATGTTATATTCTCAGACAAAATGAATGTTGAGGTAGATATGCAAAAATATGTTATTGCTTCGTGTTCTGCTATGGCGATCACCTCAAGAGTAATTTGATTTGAATTGTACATGAAAACCAACCAAGCAAGGTAATGGCAGTGTAGACTTTTGGGCCTACATGAATTATGCAGGACTTAAATGCTATTAATTATTTGAAGGTTGACTTAATGCTGATAGAAACATTGAAATTTTAGATAATTGCCTTCTTCAATCCTTATTTAAGAAAGGTGGATCTGCAAAATATTGAAATGCTTTTTTTATGGTTTTTCTTTGGTAAATTATTGTTTTAATATATTATTTGAAATATATACTTAACTTTAGTCCGATTGTTTTTTTAAATTAAGATAAAATGTTTAATTATTATTATTTTTTTTGGTATCTAAATCAATATGTTTAGATCTTTTTTTGAATTTTCATAATGCATATAGATTTTACTTGTATTAAAAAAATAAAAATAAAAGCATTTTAGTTTTCGATTTAGTTGATTTTGAATTTAATGTTTTATAAAAAAATCGTGACAAAAACAATGTGTGCTCTAATTTAAGGCCTAAAAAATCTTACCTACCTCAAAAAACTAATTTAATATCATGTCGTGGATATATATATATATATATATATATATATATATATATATATATATATAATATATATATATATATATATATATATATATATATATATATATATATATAGGCCCCTGCTAAGCCTAAATATTTTGAATCAAATCAAATAAGTGATTCAAGACTTGACTCAAAAAATCTCTATTTATTTGAATCAAATCAACCTGCTTTTATTAATAGTTTATAATGAAATTAGCTCAAGGTCATATCATTATAAATTTTCACAATCTTGAGTAATAACATTATTAGAATGTTATTACTCTAATAACATGAAGTTGTCTTAGAAATTTCAAGATACATTAAAAATTTTTTTTTTTTAACTAAATTTAAATATGGTCATGCTTTGGTCAATTCTAAATGTTTTGCAAAAAATTTCATGAATTGTTAACAAAAATTCCCCTACAAGCTAACTGCCTCTGCCAAAACATGATGACAATGACTTGATAAAATGCTTAGTTTCTCTATCTAATACTAAATAAACCTTCAGTTTTTCAATTTAATTTATTTGTATTATTGTGCCTAAAAGTTATGACCATATAAAATTAACAGCCCCCTCGATTTGATCAAACTTTGCTCATTTAAATACTAAAAAAATATTATAAGGTATTTTATTAATTATTTTAGCAATAAATAGTTAGAAATGGAAAAAACTTTTAAAATTCGAATGTATTAAAATATGAAATGATTTTAACAAAAACAAAAAGTAAATATATTAAAAATTGTATGTTAGGCCGACTTCCATGGGTCTAACATACATACGTATTGAAATTTATAAATATATATGTATATATATATATATATATATATATATATATATATATATATATATATATATATATATATATATATATATATATATATATATATATATATATATATATATATATATATATATATATATATATATATATATATATATATATATATATATATATATATTCTTTAGTTATGATTAGGAGTGTTAAAACTATTTATTTATAGAATGTAGAAATTTGTTTTGTTTTTTATTTGTTTATCTCTCCATTGACTTTTTAACCACAATAATTGCAAATACCTATATTGCATCCATGCATATATTACATACATATTTAAATATGTATGTAATATATGCTAAAATAATTGATAAAATATACATACATCTATTATGTATGTATGTATTAATAAAAACAATCCTGCCTGCCTGTCAAAAACAAAATTAGATGTGTTTTTGTTAATTTTAATAAATTAGCAAAAATACATCTAATTTTGTCTCTGTTATAGCACTCTATTTTTAAAATACACTAACATACATACGTATTGAAATTTATAAATATATATGTATATATATATATATATGTATATATATATATATATATATATATATATATATATATATATATATATATATATATATATATATATATATATATATATATATATATATATATATATATATATATATATATATATATATATATATATATATATATATATATACACACATATATCTTTAAAAGTCATTTCTTGTTATACGATATATATATATATATATATATATATATATATATATATATATATATATATATATATTATATATATATACATATATCTTTAAAAGTCATTTCTTGTTATACATATATATATATATATATATATATATATATATATATATATATATATATATATATATATATATATATATATATATAAAGTTAAAATATACTATTGTTAATCTATTTTTACATCTAAATATATTTTAAAATGGATATACACTATCTTTTTATTATAATCAACTTTTGCATATATATATATATATATATATATATATATATATATATATATATATATATATATATATATATATATATATATATATATATATATATTATATATATTATATATATATATATATATATATGTATATATATATATATATATACATAAATATGTATATATATATATATATATTTATATATTTATGTATATATATTTATATATATATATATATATATATATATATATATATATATATATATATATATATATATATATATATATATATACATAAATATGTATATATATATATATATATATATATATATATATATATATTTATGTATATATATTTATCTATATATATATATATATATATATATATATATATATATATATATATATTATATATATATATATATATATATATATATAGATATGTATGTATATATATATATATATATATATATATATCTATATATATATATATATATATATATATATATATATTTATATATATATATATATATATATATATATATATATATATATATATATATATATATATATATATATATATATATATATATATATATATAGGGGAGAGCGGGGTTGGTTGTCACACTTTTTACATTTTAGGCTACTCAGCTTTTAATTTTCATCCAATCAATGCCAAACTTTGCACAAAGCTAGTTTAACTATTTCCAGTAACTATTATAATATTTTTATGACATTGAGTGAAATATTTATTGCTGTAAAATCATTTTTCAAAGACCACTTCTGTGTGACAACTAGCCCCGCTCACGGGGTAGGGTTGTCACATGGTGCGGGGTTGATTGTCACATTTGGATTTTGACAAGTTTAGATAAGAATTTAATGTAAAACGAGTACAAATTAATTTCGTTTATGTTTTACTAAGAAAAAGAAAAAGAAAATACTATAAACTGAAATATATATATTTTAAATATAACACAATTAACAAATTTAGTTTATCACTATAAATGTTTTTAGGTTTGGTTTTTTAAAAATTATTGGATAAAGAACACAATTCACAAATAAATTGTTGTAAGCCTGGTGTGCATTCTTCATGAGACCGTTTTTGGCAAACCTGACATTGAATCCACTGTTCTCTTGATCGGCTGTTGGAAAATGATTCAAAACAATAGATGCACTAAATATAAACAATGCACAAACAAAACAACAGACAGTTTTACAAACTAAACAACAGCTAGTTGTTTTAGTTTGTAAACAAAACAATAAACAGTTGAACTTCTGCAATCCTTTTTCTATAATTATACTAAACATTGGATCGGAATCTAAAGTTATACACGTTGAAATAAAAATAATTTAGATTACAGATATTTAGTTAAACAAATATAACACTTTGACTTTAGATTTTTAAATAATATTTTTAAACATTAAAATATTCCTCAATAATGCGGAAAATAAACAAAGCCAATAAAAAATCTGCAAGCGGCGTTTAATTTGCAGCGCATGGAGTCGAGGCAAGTGTGACAACCTTCCCCATATATTTTGTGACAAGCAACCCCTTCTGAGTAAGTTGCTGGACAACTGTACATTTACCTAAAAGCGTGAGAATTTCATGATAATTTTTTACGGATTAAGTTACTCGAATGAATAAAGTACTTTATAAATCTACATTCAAAACACAATAAAATAATGTTCGTTTGGTAAAAGAAAATTTCTGAGTAGGCGAAATTTTACTTTTTCATATCAAAAACCTTTAAAAACGAATAACTTTTCTTCTGCACGCTAAAAAAAGATAAAAATTACTGCGAAAATGTTTTTTTTATATAACATTTCCATTGCATAATTTGAAATTTCTATATCTTATTTACATTTCCTGTAATAAACTTTGTGACAACCAACCCGCGTGACAACCAACCCCGCTCTCCCCTATATATATACTCACATCAATGTAATTATGTATTGTGATTATAGGGTAGCCTAGCAACAGCTTACTAAAAATTAATGTTAAAAAAATATCTTTTAGTCTTGAAAAAAAATTGAATACTAATATCAGTAAACATTCTAAGAAAGATCAACAGTTCATCTATCTGAAAAAGTTAAAATTTAAAAATTTCTACGCTCAAAATTTTTTTAAAAACAATTTGAAAACGATAAACAAAACAAACTAAAAAAGCTATTGCTGTAATTACATTTTATTCGTTTTTAGAGGTTTTATATTTAATTTGAAACATTTTATCGTGTACTAGAAGTTACTTTTATTATAATTTCCATTTAATAAACGGCTAAATGCATATTTAATTGCTAAAAATTAGAAAAATAGCTCGTTGTCAATGAGATTTTTTTTTATATTCGTTATCCGTAGCCATTTTTAAAACTTTTAAAATATGCAAACTTTACTGCGCTTGCGTATAATAACTTTCCACTTATTTAGTAAGTCTGAACGACCGTGCGGCTGCTTTAAAATGTTTGATACGCGATGACAGTCTTATTAGAGAAAACCCCGCTTGAGTGTTCATTTTTGACTGGCATGATTAATCATATTTTTAATTTGTTTAAAACTTTTAAGTCTAACAACATATTTTAATCATTTTAACAAATATAATTTTCAACTTCTTTTTTTCATTTTTTTTTTTCTCGAAACTTTATTTCCTTTTACTAAAAAGTCTCTTATATTGCATAAGGGAATATTTTTTAATTATATTTATAATATAATATTTATTTATAATATAATATTATAAATAAATCTAAACAAATTACTTTGGTTTTTATTACAAAGCTGATTTCTTTATCCGGATTTGTTTATTAAACAAATTGATCCAGCCTAATTTTATATATATCAATGATAACTCTTATATTTACCATAATTGTAATAGTTCTTTTTGTAATCTGCTCCTTTCTTTTGATATTTCTATCCTAACATTATTTCCATGCACTCCTGTGTGTTGAGCCTGCTGTCGAATAGTTTGCAATTCAAATGGTGTTACAGGATGTAAAGATTTTGTGACTGGAAGGGGTTCATAGTATGGCAATGTTGCACCTAAAAATAACGATAAAAGAACATTTTGCATTACAAAGAGAAAAGGGTTTCCTATATATATTGTATAAAATTTAAATGTTATTTTAAATGCTTATTGTGATAAATCATGAAAATAATTGAAAAGATAAATTAAAACATTAAATATTTCATCGTAATTATCATGATATTCACAACATTTTGTCACTACGCTGGTCTTTAAAAAAATTTTGTTTTTAATATGCCAATCTTGAAAATATATTATTGTTATTAAATTGGTTTTTAAACATTTTTATCTTATAAACCTAACCTTCAAACTATTAGTTGTTGTATCATTTTATACAAAAATAAATTAAATTTATAAAAGACAAATATAAATGAAATCAAATAAAAATGTATTTGGTAACAATCGTGGTTCGCTCGTATCACTCTACGACTCCTTTGCTCAACCCCACAGCTCCTTTACTTCGCTCAATGGTTTCCTAACTTCATTCTTTCACAATAAAAAAATTAAATAATATTTTACCTTACCAGGGTGAACATGTTGTACAGCAACTGGTCTATCACAAGATATGCAATTACAGTTCTTTATCAACTGCTTTCTACTTCCTGCAGCTCCGTCTTGCGCATCTTTAATTTGAATAATCTTTGGTTTGAATGAGCTAAACCTTGAATCTATGTAATTTCGAAGTTCTGAAAGTTCTTCTTTATTCATTTTTGTATCTATAGAATCTCGCAATTCAAGATTGGTTTTGTTAGTAGTTATTTCCTAAAACAATAATTTTAGGAGTTACAACTAGAAAATTCGAATTTCACAGTGGATCCTAGCTTTAATTAATACGTAATTTTTAATTATTTTACGTCATTTTTTTTAAACTTAAACGCAATCTCTTTCAATTGAAAGTAAAAGCAATTGTGTCAAGAAAAAACCAGAGATAACTTTAGGAGCACAAATTCAAATCAACCGATCAGATCAGCCGAAACTACATGAAATAAAAGAAGCGAACAAATTAATATTATTAAAAAACGAGATACACAAATGTAAAAAAAGAATTGATTTACAAACTTGATGTAAGCGGAATAGAACTTCCGATAAAATTTAAAACAATGAGTCACGATAAAGCATATGCTTACAACAAAAATTTCTTTTTAAATTTTTATAAAAATAGGTGTACTGAAAAAGAATTAATTTCTAAGATATAAAAGAGATGAATACGAGTTGAAAAGGCGAATAGCAAATAAATAGTTTAAACTATATTATAAAGTATAAGAGCGTATAAAGAAAAAACAAAAAGACAAAAAAGAAATATAAACGTGATGAATGCTATTAATACAAACTAACTCTTCAGTCCTTAATAAAAATTTGATAAAGCAAAATAAAAAACCAAAACTTACCAAAATTAAAAAAATAGTCATAACTAACAAAAAAGGAATAAAAAAAAAAAAGAATTAAATTTAAATAAAAATACATAAGTAAAAATAAAAGATCTTGAACTTTTTTTGAAAACAACTTACGGCTTCGTCTACTTTTTGAACAACACTCTGAAAGTTGCGCTCCATCTCATGAGCAAACGCATTAAACTGATTACGATCAATTTTGCTTTCAAGAAGTTGAATGTCTGCCTTTTTTTCTAATAAGATTTCAATACCTCTTTTGTCAATTTTATTTTCCTAAAAAAGAAACAAAAGATAAATTAAAAATTATAAAATATACCGCAGAATGGATATAATCAGTTATGGCCAAAAAGACCTGACCATTCATAATAAGATTAGATAATCCTTCCTCTGGAATGAAATACATTTCATTACAGGGGAGTTATACATTATCATTACATCTCCTAAATATATCTAGACATAATTATATTCTTATATTTATACGCAACTAATAGTTGTATAAAAGTAAGAATTACCTGGTGCCGAAACTATTTTCTAATATTTTTACATTGGTTTTTTTTCAAAAAATAAATAAATAAACATCTTTAATCAAATTCCATAACAACTACCATTCAGACAAGGTAAAATCACACGTGTCAAATTTTTCTATTATGTGAATCCATTTAAAAATATAGTTATACAATCCATTTAAAAATATAAGGCTTAAAAAACATTTTCTCTTCTAAAAGATAAATAAAATTGCATTCTCTCTCTCTCTCTCTCTCTCTCTCTCTCTCTCTCTATATATATATATATATATATATATATATATATATATATATATATATATATATATATATATATATATATATATATATTATATATATATATATATATATATATTTATATATATATATCTATATATCTATATATCTATATATCTATATATCTATATATATATATATATATATATATATATATATATATATATATATATATATATATATATATATATATATATATATATATATATATATATATATATATATATATATATATATATATCAAAGTCAGTTAACAAAAAAAACAAAATTAACCGAAGCCATGAAGAAAAAACAATTAGAATGGGTTTTAACTTCAAAACATTTTACCGTAAAAGACTGGAATTGAGCAAGTGTAGTGGATACTTAAATACTTAATGTACAGAACTGGAAAAATCATTGTAGATTTTTCACTCTTAAAAATCTACTCTAAATAATAATTAGGTTTTTTACTTCAAAAACAATCATAACATAAAAATAAAGCCACAGGTTATATATTCCAGGTATATCAAAATTTTTAATGCTTGATTTGAACACCTTTGGCAGCTTTCAATGCTTTCATTTACTTGGGTATATCTATGATTAAATCACAGCATAATTTAGTGATTGTTTCGCTGTGAGACAAACCAGACATGGATTAACCTCTCTATAAGTTGCGTTTCTGTAGTGATTAGAAATTTATGTACTTCATCCGTCAAAATGTTTCATAAAAATTGGATTTGTTGTCAATTGGATTCATATCTGGTGAATTCCCAGAACATTTGAATACAAAGCACCCTTTCTCTCGTCTCGGTCTCGGAACCATGTCATTAACAACTTGTCCATATGACATGTAGCATTATCTTGTCGAAATATAAACTCCTTATCAGTGAACCAGTCTCTGACTTGAGCAACCAAACGTTTCCCCAACGCTTCTATATAATTTCTCTGGTTCGTCATTCTTTCACAATATATAGACGACTTGTTCCACAAATGGATATTACTTCCCATAACATGATCTTAGTGGGGAATTTCAATGTTTTCTTAAAAAATTCAGACTTGAACTCCTCTGCAGGTCTTATTCTTACCACAGCATTTGTTGACTTTTCTATGAATACAACCTAAAATAAAAAAATGCCTGATAAGTTTCAAAGAAATCATTGCAAAAACATTACAATAATAGTCATAATCAACAAGTTAACACCTACTGATATTAGTCAGAAAATATGATGAAACTGAAAGAAATTAAGAAACCGATACCATCAGAAGTCTAATAGAAAGCTAAATTAACAATTACCCTAGACCAATCTTCTTGCGTCCAACTTTCATGCTCAACAGCCCATCCATGCCTGGATTACTTAATTTTTTCCGTGAGTCTTGGCTTTTTTTTTTGGTCTATATGTCTTCAGTTCCTGCTCCAACAAACGATTATTCACTGTTTAACGGCTTACATCAATGCCCAGACTTGCTAACTAGATATCATAGATATCTTACTGCATGAATTTCTTCTATCACTGAGGGCCATTATTTTGATCTTTTTCTCAAATCCGTGGGTAGTGATTCTTTTACGATCGCATATACCAACTCTTCCAGCTTTAACGTTTCTACCCTTACCCAGCTTTCTTTTTACTGTACTAACTGTTTGTGTTGAAATCTTTTATTTCTTTTCAGCCTTAGGCCGCTATTATCCTTAGCCTGCTATTATCCAACAAAACAAAGATTTGTCAAAATCAAAATTGGTCAAAAATATCAAAAATGTCTAAACAATTATTTTTTTATTTTAACTGAAACTTAAAATTTGTAAAGTCTAAGTACATCCCAAATACACCGTACACACAGAAAGTAAAAAGAACTCAAATTTCTCCCTGTAATAAAGCCTGAAGCATAAAAAAGTTTCTGACTGAGTTTTTTTATAATTAAATTTTTTCTATATAATATTTTTCACAAAATACTTTTTATTTTAAACTTGATTGAAGTGACATTAGTTATCCAATCTTCTTTGAGCCCCTCGGTAAATAACCAATCAAAATAACTAACTGTCAAAAATTATTATAGATAATATCTTATAAATGTGAAAAATGCGCGTTAGCAACACACTACCCGATGGGCATTTGTTTTTAAAAGTTACGATCTAAATGTCTTTTAAATGTCTTTTAAACGTCTTTTAAACATTATTGTTTAAAAGACGTTTAAAAGACGTTTAAAACACATTTAGAACGTAACTTTTAAAAACAAATGCCCGTCGGGTATAAAACCACGTGTTGCGCGGGTAATTGCGTAGTTATCAACCGTTATGATAATATTTTATATGCTTTATATATTAGAATCACGTGAAATTTAATCATAGTTATCTTAGGCTGCAATGAATGAACAATTGCTGCACGCTTGAATATTTCAAGTAGAAGATAACTGTTCAGATATCTTTGATATGTTTTTTCGCTGTAAATACCGGCTGGACAGAACTATAATATATATATATATATATATATATATATATATATATATATATATATATATATATATATATATATATATATATATATATATATATATATATATATATATATATATATATATATATATATATATATATTCAGCCATATTATTCAAAATTTACAAAATAAAAAACTTAACCTGTTTTCTTAATTTACGTAATAGTTTTTGAAATTTAGTAGTGAATGTGGGTATTGAGTCATAATCCATAATTTTACTATTTTTTATATGTATGTATGTGTATATATATATATATATATATATATATATATATATATATATATATATATATATATATATATATATATATATATATATATATATATATAAATATATGCACATATGTGTATAGAAAAATGTAAAAGAAGAATCTTCTATTTTTCTATATATATATATATATATATATATATATATATATATATATATATATATATATATATATATATATATATATATATATATATATATATATATATATATATATATATATATATATATATATATATATATATATATATATAAAATAAGTAATTATTTTTAAAAATAACACGATGTTTTTTATTCTTGACATGTTCGCAAAATTTTATTTACATTTTCAAAAGATTATTTTACAATAATAAAACTCTGAAATAAATATTAAAAAATAGAAGTCTTTACAGAAAAATAATAAGGGACAAATATTTACATAATGAACCAATATATTTATTAGAAAATAACTCGATAAATAACCAATCAAAATAACTAACTGTCAAAAAAAAAAATTAATAATAATAATGATAAACTGACAGTAAAATTAAATACATAAGTTTATAGCATACGGTGAAGTTTGTTTAATAATGAGGGACTTTTCCATTTAATGTGAAGGGCTTCTTTTATCTTTAATTTGTGTTTGGTTGGGGCATTATCCAAAATCTCAAAAGAATAACAGCTAGCCAGATTTTCGCTATTAACAGATAAATTTAAGTGTTTAAATCATAGTCACAAGAATAGATAGTCTGGAAACACGGGCCGTAACAATTAATTTTGAACTTTCATGTCAAAATTGTACTTTCGGCCAGCTGAAAGTGCAAAACAAACATTAAAGTGAATCATGGAAAGTGGAGAGTTGCAAGATCTTTTGAGTTTGATAGAAACAGATCAGTTTGAAAGCGATTCATTTTATCAAGAAATCGAAATAGCAGCTTTAGAAGAATGTAAGGAGACTTTAAATTGTAGTGATTGCTCGAAGGTATTCAAAACAACTAGTGGTCTGAAAAGGCATATAAACTCTAAGCACAAAGAACTTGTACCTACTGACAACCTTGTCATGGTTGTCGGTAGTGAATCAGTTGATTTAAATAAAAATACACAATTATGTATTCAAAGTACACAATTTAGAGATCTATTGACTAACGCAAGACATAAACTGTCAACAGATGATTGTTTTTGTAATGAAGATCGAGAATGTTTTAAAAACATGGTTGTCACTGAATCTGAGTATTTACAAGTTGAGTATTTACAAGTTGAAGTTTTTTTAAAGAAATGCATGAATTTAAAGTCAATGCCGAAAAATTTTATTCTTCGCTCCACCACAAGTATACAAGTGAGTCAGTTGCGATAAAAACAATACCAAAGGAACTATATTATTTATTGTTAGCAGAATTAACAACATTATGTCTAAATTTTTTGATTACAAAAGAATCTAAACTTATTGGTGAAGATTCGAATCTAGAAATAAATCTCTCTGAAAAAGACATAAGATGCTTAGAATATATTGCAGGTTATGTATTTCAAAAACTGTACTCTAAGTTGAGAAATAAAAAAATTAATGATGTTACAATATCTGGACAATGGCTTGATATTATACTTTCATCAAAAACTCAAGAGGAACAAAAACTTGTAGATAGTAGAGATAGAGGTGGATTGTGGAAAATGAATACACTAGTAATAAATATTTTTAGTGAATGTGAAAAAATATTTAAAATACATACTAGCGTAAATTTTAGAAAAATTGACAGTAAAGTATTGGTTTCACAATTATTAAATAACTGTTTTTTCAAGTCCTGCTTTTATCAAATAAGTGATCATCCTGAAACAGAAATAGACAAAGAAATTGCTAAAACTTTATTATATCATATAGTGATGCTTTTTATTCGTGTTCGTTCATATTCACACACAAAGCAAATAAAAGAAAAACTCAAAAACAAAAAAAAGAATAACAAAAGCAGAATCTTTACGATCATCATTAAAAAAATCAAATAAGATCAAGAAAAATATTTGCGATAGCTGAGATTTACAATCATATTTCCTCTTATCAGTGTTTTATCAATCTATGCAGATGTAAAGAAAAACCATATTTATAAGAGTATTATAGTTCCAGTTTATAATACTTATCAAACAGCTATTTTCAGAGCTACAAAAATAATTACATTTTTGGTTAGAACAAATATTTTTATTAATTTATTATTTTAATTAACTTATTTTATTTATTTTAATCAAATGTTGTGTTTTTTCTCTTTACAAAATAATGTATGACATTCTTTAAAATTTTAAAAGTATAGGCTTTTATCAGTAATCAGAGTTAAATTATATAAGGTTTTGGTAAAATTTGATTTTTAAATAAACTAACAGTAATTTTGGGGAAGACAAATAATATCTACTGATAAACTAATTTAAAATGGTTTTATGAAATAAGGTTTTCCAAAAAAAAAAGATCATAATTCAATTAAGTTAATTTATTTTTTCTAAGTTTCTTGGGAACCGGTGTACCATCAATTACCCATTCATTAGTATGCTGTCTAACATTTCCACAAAGGGGTTGAATTGTAAATTGAGATTTTATGATATTATCATTGTATCCAGTGTCTTTAAGGTTAGGATTATACCTACTGCAACCTATAGTTCTCTGCTTACCAAAGTAGTTCTCCAATGCGTCTTGACAAAATATTTCAGTTAATACGTATAAAAATCCTTTGCTTAGTAAGAATTGAACGCATTTAACTATGGAGTTTACCGTTCTAGATAGACCTTCTAATGTCTGATTTGATATGAACATTTTATTAAGTTTTTTTTTAGAAAATTTTTCTGGCCTTTTTTGTATGCTTTCCCTCCAGTCTACAAAATATTTTAGAAAAGTGTTTTTTAACCAGTAAAACCTTTCATCTGAACAATCGATATAAGGTTTCAAAAATACTTTAGGATTTTTGAGGTGCTCTTTAGTGTTTGAGACATTGCAGCAATCAAAAAATTATCCATTAACAGACAGAAATTTGCTGTCTCAGAAACTTCATCTGGCCCAAATTGATGCAATGTATTGCCAACTGTAGCACTTAAAATTTGAACTGCTAATTTTACGTTCATAACAGAGTATGCATTTAATACTATATGGCCTCGAGTAAGTTTAGGAAAATAATTTAAATTACATTCCATATCTTCATAGTAAAACTTAGCAATATGACTACAGAGAAGATATTTTCCATTATTCCACATATATCTTGAACAACGGTTAGATCCAGAGTTGCTCAAACAGTTTCTTGATGTTTTGATAAGATGAGGAGGATCAGAAAAAAACCATATATATTGTTCATCATCTGCATGAATATTCTTTGTGCGATATGTTATACCATTTGCTTTGTTGTCATTATTCATATGCATTTTATAAATGCATGATTTGGTGAAGCTCCATCGCAATTCACAGCTATAACTTTTAATTTACATGTTCTTTCTAATATTGCAACAACACGCCAAAATATTGGAAAAATCTGGAATGACATAATACTATCAGTAGCAAAACTTGCAAAAGCATAAGATAAGGGATTCACTTCTAAAAAAAAAAATTAAAATATGTGAAGCTAAATTATCAGTTTTTTCAAAAGTTGCCTGAGTAAGATCATCATCACCAAGATCAACAAAACCAATTAAATCACCTGTGTGCTATCCCACACAAGTTCATTTTGAATTTTCATTTCATCAAAAGAAAGTATAATGTATTGTTCAAGTGCGGAAAAGTTTGAAACTAATTTAGCAAGCTCCTGAACATATTGACTATTAAAACCCATTTGTGGTTTGATGTAGTTTCTATAGTCTCTTAAAGTGCGTTGAGAAGGCAAAACAAGTATACCTTTTCCACCTTTTTGTAAATGCAGAAGATCATATGCAGCTGGAGATTTTGCATACAAAGCTAAAGAGTATTTTGTTACCATTGGATGGTATCGTGTTTGAGATGGGTGTTCTGTTAAATATTTTAACTGTTCTGAAAGGAATAATTTCATGAAAGACGAAACTCCTCTATTTAAATTTACCTTTTCTGAGAAACTATTGATAATTTTTTGAAGATCTTGATGGATGTTTTCTCCAACTGATACTGCATTTTTTTCAATGGCTTGCCTGAGTTCCAAAATTTGCTTTTTTAAATATCTATTTTCAGATCTTTGATTTTGGAGAGTAAGAAGTAATCTTTCAGGCGCAGTATATTTAACAGGAGCTTTAATACTAGCTGGAGTTTTTAAGATTTTCTTTTTTGCATTAATGGCTTTGCTACTATTTATAGTTAATATTTTACATTCTTTACAAATGCTTGACTCAATTTGTAGAATACTGCATGTAGAAGATCTGAAATACACTGTTTCATTTGTAGGACCATCATCACATTTTTCATCTTCGATTGAAAATAGTTTGCTAACGACATGTCTCTTTACAAGCAAAAAATTTTCTACTTCATTGGATGATATTCCATTGCACAGATAGAAATCACGAATGTGATTGAGAAATTGTGATATCATGGTGTATCGCACAGATCGTAAATTACTCTTATAAATTTGATGGGTGTCTGGTAAAAGCCAACCATAAGCTCGAATAGTATAAGCTAGACTCTCATCCACATGTAGCTCAATTTCTGGTATGAAATGTTTCCCATCAATAACTTTAAATAACACATAGTTTTGTGAAGTTTCAACAGTCCATGTAGTAAATGCTGCTACTTTAATTTTTTTAAGAAACTGTTCAAAATCATTATAAATTAATTTTTTATCTACTTTTTTACTACCGTGTAATGCTAAAGCCATAGCTCGTTTGTCAAGTGCTGTTTTTTTACGATGCACAGTGAGATCTTCAGATAAAGTTTTTTTTGGTAAGTTTTTTGATGGAAGTGCAAATTCTTTTAATTCTTTTTTGTGTTGATCTGAAAAATAATTAAAAAGAATTTGTTAAATAGTATTTGCTTTACTGTCTGTAATTCAACCTATCATAAAATTATAATAAAAGTAATGTATACGCGTACTCAATAAATATCAACACTTATTAAGCACACTTACAGGTGTATATATCTGAATATTCAAAATGCTTTTCACATATATAAACACTATTCTTTTTGATTTGTTTTTTAAAATCAAGGGATACAACTCTATCTCTTGTGATAATTCTCAGTATTTCTTTATTCCAATTTGAGAAAAGTTCGCTTCTATTTGGGTTTGGAAGTTTAAAAATACTAACTGTATCTTCTCCTTGTTTTTTATACCTACTACTTCCACAGCCATAAACTGCGCAGTTTGCTCCAGGCATGATAAATCTAGATTCAAACAACTGATTTCAGCTCCACTCTAGTATATTAAACACGTTTAATAAACTAAATTGTAACTGAAATAATATTTTTTTTTTTACCTCTAGAAGTTTAAACTTATGACAAAAATTTCAGTCTCTAAAAAGTTAAACCAACGATACAACTAGAATAATGAAAAGAATTTATAAATTGTAACAAGCACGATTATTTGACGCAAAACTAAACTTATTTGAACTTTGTAACAAGAATAGATCTTTCTTGTGATTATGACCTGAACGAGTTTATTTTTATTTCTTTAATGTTTTGCACTTCAAAGGATCTGGGTTCTAGTTTTTTCGGGTACAAAGAGATAATATAATAAGCTTTTGTGCGCTTCCAGACTATCTATTCTTGTGACTATGTTTAAATATATGAGATTGTTTATCACTTTTAAGGTGCTCATTTATTCTAGTTGCCAAATGTCTGAAGGCTTCTCCAATTTAACTGGCATTACAGTCAGCGCAAGAAAATTTATAGACAACATGAGATTTAAGCAATTTAGGAAGTGACTCTTTTAAGCAAAAACAATCTTGTATTTTATTAGTAGTGAAAATTAATTTTATTAAAACATCCTTGCAATATTTATGAACAATTTTTGAAATTTTTATTTTAGTATAATTAGAGTACATTCCAATGTATGGAAGCTTAAAGTATCTTATATTTAAACTATTAACTGAGTTAGAAACAGGTGGGTTCATTTTCTTATCAATATAGGATTTAATTTCAGAGTCAATAATTTTTTGTGGAAATTTATTATTTTGTAAAGGTAATGATAGATTCTTAATATCTTTATCAAAACCAACCCAAGTATTATAATTTTAAATGTACGATCAATCAAACAACGAACAAGTCCAAATTTGTAGCGAGAAGGAATAAAACTTAAAAAATTTTGTAAAAGACCTGTATATGTTTTTTTGTGATAAACTAAAGTCAATAATGAATTGGATTTTTTAATAAGTACATCTAAAAAGGCAATCTGGTTATCTTGTTCTTTTTCCATAGTAAATTTCAAATTTTTATGTTGTTTGTTGAGGTGTTTGAAAAATTCTTGAGTTTCATATTCAGAATTAAAAATGGCAATTATATCATCCACATACCGTTTATAAAATAATGGTGCTGTAAAGGAGCAGTTATTGATCCATGTTTGTTCATGAAATCCGACAAAAATATTAGTTAAGATGGGCGCTAAAGGAGAACCCATAGCAATACCATCCGTTTGATCGTAATAATTTCCGTCAAATAAAAAATGTGAACCGGATGTGGAAATCTAAAGTAATTTTTTAAACTGAATTTTTGAAAAACGTTTTAAGTTAATTTTATCCTTAAAAAAAAAATCAGTGGCTATGTTAATGGATTCCTTAAGTGGAATATCCGTGAACAAACTTTCAACATCATATGAAACAATAAATTTATTAGTTACATTTTTTGTTTTAATTCTTCAACAAAATAAAATGAGTCTAATGGTTCTCCTTTAGCGCCCATCTTAACTAATATTTTTGTCGGATTTCATGAACAAACATGGATCAATAACTGCTCCTTTACAGCACCATTATTTTATAAACGGTATGTGGATGATATAAATGCCATTTTTAATTCTGAATACGAAGCTCAAGAATTTTTCAAACACCTCAATAAACAACATAAAAATTTGAGTGCAAAATTGTTTAGGTATACGAGGAGACAATAAATGAGAAAGGTGTTTGGCAAGATTGTAATTATATGTTCCGATTGTTGAGATGATAGGTCGAAATGTTGGAAGAGAACTATCTTTACTAATTTTATGCATCTTAGGTAACGCGTAAATTCTTGCAGGTTGAGATCCTACAGAATAGATTTTAGTGTAAATGTCTTTTTCAAAACATTTAAACTTATAAAGTTTTCTAAGATATCCTTGTAAAGATATTTCTTTTTTTATAGTTGCATCCTCTTTTAATTCTTTAAACTTAGTTTTATTACTTATAATATTATGTAATGAATTTATATAATCAACTTTATTAAGAACAATTATACCATTTCCTTTGTCGGGTCGTGTAATAACAATGTTCTCATTATTCCAAAGTCTTTTTAATATTTTATGTTTTCTCAGACAATTTTCAGATGGAGTGTATTTGTAAAAGTAATTCTTAGCCAAATGGGAAAGTTCACTTTTAAGTTGAGGTTTTCATTCATTGTTTTTTAGTTGATTGTTGAAAAATTGCGAAATACAATCAAATAAATATATTGGTTCATTATGTAAATTTTTGTCCGTTATTATTTCTCTGTAAAGATTTTTTAATATTTATATCAGAGTTTTATTATTGTAAAATAATCTTTTGAAAATGTAAATAAAATTTTACGAAACATGTCAAGAATAAAAACATCGTGTTATTTTTAAAAATATGTATATATATACACATCAAAATTTATATGCAATAAAGCAAAAAAAAAAAAAAAGACTAAATAAACTACAATCTTATTCATCAACATTATGCCAATCTTGTTTATCAACATTATTCTCATACAAGTTTTGGAAGATCTCTTTTCACATATCGCGGAGCTCTTCTGTGGAACAAAATAGTTTTGATTTTTCTCAAAGTTGGAGTTTTCTTATTTTTAAAATTAGGCTGAAAAAGTTATCTTGTCAATTGATAATATCAATGAGTTCTTTTGAGTTTATACCTTTTAAAAAAGTGTGTGATTCCTGAATATATTGTTTTATTTTGAAATAGTTTTATATATATTCTTTATGCTGTTAAACGTTATTTTACTTTTTGAAATATCTGGTTAGATTTAAATTTTCTAAACGTTAATTATTGTAATTATTTAACTGGATATATTTTTACTGCATTGTCAAACGGTTCTCAGTGACAGGATCTTATGATCCTCTTTGAGTCTCCGTGTTCTGATATTCAATGTACAACGATATTTATACCATAATATATTAAATATAGTAAAATAACAAAATATAGTAAAAAAAATAAAAAAATAACAAAACCTTTAACAAAAAGTTTAACGCTTTTGTTAAAGGTATCTTAAAACTGTTTAACGCATGTATTTATAACGGAACCTTTTTTCTTTTTTTCTTTAAATTTGTTTATGTTTTCAATTCTTAATTCTTAATTATTTGTTATCTTCAAGTATATTAAGTATATATTCCTAAAAAAAGTTTATTTATTTATTTTGGTAATATTTTAATAATATCAAATGTTAACATGTAAACTTTTTAGCGGTTCTCGACGACAAGGTCTATATGGTCTTTTACGAGTTCCCGCGTTCTTTTATTTCTTAATAACGATCATGTATATTTATATACATTGTTAACGAATATTATAACGAAAATCACAAAATTATAAAATCAAAAAACATATATATATATATATATATATATATATATATATATATATATATATATATATATATATATATATATATATATATATATATATATATATATAATATATATATATATATATATATATATATATATATATATATATATATAGATATGTATATATATATATATATATATATATATATATATATATATATATATATATATATATATATATATATATATATATATATATATATATATATATATATATATATATATATATATATATATATATATATATGTATATATATATATATATATTATATATATATATTATATATATATATATATATATATATATATATAAATATATATATATATATATATATATATATATATATATATATATATATAT